TTTCTTTCTTTCTTTCTTTGTACGATCCCTCTCGTGACCTTCTCTACTCAACAACCTCGTTAGAGACTTCTTATCAAGAAGATTACCAGCGAATTTTCATTACTTACGAATTTAATCTTCGTGGAGGAAAGTGCCCTTTTTTTTTTAATCGATTGAAAACCCGGAATATGTGGTCTTACATTGTAATAGTAAATCCAGCCATGGATGTTCTTGTAATTATACATTGAGCTTGTCAGTTAGCCGTTGAAGGAACGATTATCCACTTGCCTGGCACAAACGTGATTTTACGTTTACCGGAGTTTCATCCTAGAACTCCGGCCGGCCAAACAGATAAAGCGTTCATTGTTCGTCAACGCTACAGTCGCACGAAGCGGCGAGACTGTTTTTACACGTCTGCGAAGCTCTCAATGATTAGAAATCACTTTCACTGGCTGTCTGATGTGAACGCGTATGAATAGCCACGCGTCTAATTACTCGGAGCCAATCTTGCAACGTTGTTAATGACTCGTGGGGATTCGTTGTTGCTGACCTGTTGCATTTTTTTCTTTCCTAATACGAGCAACACGTTTCACTGAACTATAAGTATATACAGTTACGACCAAGAATACAATTCTTTTTATCGCAAACATTCTTTCTGATATCTTCTTGACAATATAAGCGCCACGAATTCAATATCTATTTTCGTATCAACGTAGCGAACGATCGAGCGTGTATTAGAAAAAATATAACCTCCTTCGTTCCGTGACTTCGGCCGTAAAAAGAGCTCGCGAAGAGACACTTGTTGCGAAAAAGGCTAAAACATAACCTCCAGCTTAATAGCCGGTAATTTGCATCTACGACAGAATCGAAGAATCTCGATACGTGTCGTATAACGGATGACCGATAAATACAGCCTTGTCCCGGTTCTATCGTTCAATCTAGATTCCACGTGACCAAACAAAGAGAGAAAGACAACGGTGACCCGAAATATGTGTATGATGTGCAACGAACGTATTTGAAACAAAGTGCGAACGTTCAACCTTAATTCTATGCCGTGATGTTTTCTTCTCCGTTGATGTAATCGCCCTCAGCGCCAATACAATCAGATTACGTGTTCGAAATTATTCAGGAGGATAAATTGATTGCTCAATTTCCAGATTCCATCTGTGGCAATTGAAATTTCCTCGTCGAACGTCTGAAACTTTGTTCAACATTTTTACAACCGCACTCTGTATTTTCTCAAAGTCACTTTGATCAAAAGAGTCACTGTGTATATATACATACGCATGCACATATTATATATGAAGATCTGCAAATGTTCAAATTCCAAATGTGCGATGTATGTCAAACGTGGCTGTGAGTTTTAATGCAAATCTCGATAGTGAATGTTAACCTTTACACGACGAATTAAGAGGGTTGTAGATAAAAATATATATCACAAAATCTTTATAAGAAATATTTAAGAATTATCTTTAAGAAAAAAAATTTGTACTATCTGTGTAATGTCACAGGTCAAAGTTGCAACTCATTTTTTCATACATGTAAAATTTATCACAAAATCTTTTCATGAAAATGAAATTTTACATGTACGTGAAAAATTAAACTGCAACATTGACCTGCGACATTATAAGGTTAACTAGTACAAATATTTTTTTTTTTAAATAATTTCAAATTTAGTTTATATATATATATTTTAGGTTATGTTTAGGTAAGTGAAAACTTACCAGGTGAAAAGCATGACTTTAAATGGTATACTACAGATAAATACGTTCTTCCCGATTTACGATCGTGTAATTCTTTTTGTAAAAGTATCGTTCATCCTTTTATATTTAAACGACAAAAACGGAACAATAGTTTTTGTTTTTCGACATGGTGTGGATTCGTACGCCGCGCCTGTATTTAGCGTCATTTATGAAACTTTCGAGCACCTATAGAAAGAATTATTTTTCCTACAATATATTTATTACTTTCACTTATACTTGTATATTACTTATGCTTCACTTATGTTTATATAAATAAATATATATATATTTTTTATTATTCGTACAAGTTCAAAGTAACCGGTTCATTTTTCAATTTTCATTTCAAATATGGCATATCTCTTGTGGGGGCGGGAAACAATTTCATCAAAGTTCGTGGATCTTCGCACAGATGTCGCCCGTATAAAATCTATCGCTCACAACAATAACTGTATCCGCATTCGTGGTGATTGTAATAATTATTGCCCTGCGATAATAATTTCCACGCAACTAAAAGAGGACATTGAAAAATCAAAGATCTGGTTGATTAGTTCTGAACATTACTTGATGAGGAACAGGTGATAAATATCTGTAACTTCGTTCTCCCTTAAATGTTTAAGTTGAAACAGGTGGCAAATACGCCACAATATCTCGCGAAGGGTGATTCTACAGCAGTGGAATGCGTATTGCGAACAAACGTTGAAAGAAGCTCCCTTCACCCGTGGTATTAATCCAACATTCGTTTCTCCATGGTCTTCTAGACACGTACTACAAGTACAGTAGATACGAGTCGAACGGTTGAATGACACACCTATTACACGCGTCTCGATCACCTACCAGCCGCCATCGTTCGTTGATCCGACTACACTCGCTTAGGACTTTCGACCCACAATACGGCCCTGAACCAACGTCGATTTACTACCACAACCAAATCTTAACAAAGACCCTACGAAAATTCTTCCTGCTACTTTCTCGTTGTTTGTATCATTTACTAGATCATTACTAAACTTTTAGATTGTTTGGAGGTTATTCAAAATATGGCACACTGTGTGAACGACTCCTAATGTTTTTTGTCAAGACGGTTGCAAGGATGGAAGAAGTGGTTCAACGCTGTGGATAGAAAAAGAATACTGGCAACTTCAGGATGGCTCTGTTTCGCGCGACGAGGGCTTATTGTACACTCGTTCCAATTCTAGCCGCTATAACGCGGTGAACTTCCTTTCGTTAGAGCCGATTCCGCTTTGTAAAACCAACATCGTTAGCCTTCAATGTTCCTCCTCGCTGGAATGCAAAGTGACCCCACGATGCAACTCTTTTGCTCTTTAGTCTCATTTGAACTGGAACACCTTTCTAACAAAGCAAAGGAGACATTATCCTTAGGAGACACTGTAGTTATTGCAACTCTTGTTACCATTGGCGTATATAGTTAGTTTATTGAAAAGTATAGTACAACGTGATAACTAATGACCAATGTAAATATTTTAGATATAACAATGTAATGTACGGTAATTTTAATTATAACAGTATTATATTTTATATTACAGGGAATGCAGCAGAAGTGTCCGATTGTATTAAACTTTAGAAAAACATAGCTGCCTGTAAATTAGAAAGGAGGAGCGATCCAGCAAAGAATCACCAGCGACTCGAGGAAAGCCAAGAATCTCGCGTAGAGACAACGCGAGACCTATTCGCATTCTTTCTCGTTGATATTCTTCGATCGTGGCTTCGATGCGCCTTCCTAAAGGTTTCCAGGTCGTCCGACACGATTCACATTTACGATTGACTTCTACAATGGTTAAGTTCGTAGCTGTCCTATTTCGTTTTGCTATTTCCTTACCAATGGTGATGTTCTTACAGAGGGATTGTAACAACGATTGTAAATCATTTTTATTCTGTCGGAATTAAAACGAACGAAGGAAAGCTGCAAAAATTAAATTCTCGGGAAATTCGCGGGAAACCAAATCGATAATGTAGAACACTGATTTTCCATAACAAGCGCCACCTGTTTTTTGTAAAGATGAAAATTGTCAGTTCGTTTTCTCATGAATTATCGATATCGACGTTCTTTTTTTTCCCAGCGATTACTATGCTACAAACCTTTCAAAGACATTACCGAACTAAATTGATTCGTGAGTTATTAAATCGTCAAAGCCGAGTTCAATTAGCGCTCGGGGAGGATAAATACGGAGAGAAGATGAAACAATCAAATATCTTTGCTGTACGTGCGTTCACTGAATGTTGACATAGAGCGAAAATAACAGATAAATCACGAGACGGCCGAGACAGGCTTCGCGCACGCTGACATTAAGAAATGCAATTCAGTCGACAGCAATCCAGAACCGCTAGATTCGAGCTCTCTCATAATATCCCAATGGGTGAAAGTTGCAGTTTCCCACGCGATTCGACCTGCGGACGAATCAATGGGATCTCCTGTACTTTTATCCCCTTTGTCCGGCGCGTTTATTCAATCGTTCATTCAACCTTGTATTTACTTGCTTATCACGCGCACAACCTATCGATCAATTACACGCAGCTCGTACTAATCGACTGTTCATTTATCATTTAGCTCGGAGCATTTAATTGATTACTCGTCCGTTCGGATAAGAAGCCATTTAATGCAGCTTAATGTTCTGAATGACTACAGGCCGTAAGCATCATCCGCAAACAGGCATATCTATCTGAAAAAAAAAAAAAAATATCGCGTCGATTGTAAACGTAAAGAAAATCATCATCCTCTTTCGATTCATCCTTTATTGCCAGTTCTCCCCGTTCGAAATAAGCGCGCAACGCGCGGCCGACGCGCGCATGCGCGGCCTGAATTTTCAAACGCTGTCCACTCGAAAATGCAACGCTCTGCGAAAACACTTTCACCAGACTTTCGCGGAATCGTCTATTTTATTCAACGATTTCGATTACGTGTAGTGACAAAAATGGTATTCACATTTCTTTCAGGATCCAAAAACATCCTGAGGTTAGATTAACTCACTCACTCTCTCTCTCTCTGTCTCTGTCTCTCTCAGGTTTCCAAAAGACCGTGGCAGTCGTAACGAAGTCGATATCGCCACACGCAACATAGAGACAAAGAAACAAGGAGAAAAGAAGAGGAGGAGAAGAAGGTGTAGAGAAGGCAGAAGGAGAATCGGGGAGGTATGGTCCCGCTATCCGATCGGCCGCTAAGCCGAGGCCAATGAACTTGTGGTTCGCCTACCGACTTTACCTGCCAGCCTCAAACCTGTCAACCTGGCTCCGTTCTGTGGGTATCGACCAGGATATTTCGCCTACGATAGCTCTCTGCCACGAAGCATTTCTCACGCGAACGACCATTCTGTTACCAATTTAAACATTATGTACAACTGAGGTTGAGGTTAGTTGATCAATATGGAAGGAGTTGCGTGTCTCAATGTCTTCAACTGTTTCAAAAAATATCAGAATCTCGGGCAAACTTGCTGAAAAACCACTTCATTTTAGACTTTGCTGGGACTTTTCTTGTATCTAAAGCTTTCTCGACCATTTTATTTTGACGTACAGGATGGGCCAGAAATCACGTCCCTACTAAAATAAATCTGTAATTTTTTTATTACACACTTTTTAAAATTTCTTTTTACAGACAGAAAGTACACGAAAGAAATAACTTTTAAAACATAATGGAAAAATCATGTTTGAACTTAAATTTAATTTAAAATTAATGAAATTAGTTTATTCTCTTATATTTTGATGTTTTATTAAATTAAAAAGAAATAAGTGGGAAGAAAGGCCCATCCTGTACAAAAATGCGGACTACAAACAAAAGGTAAGTACATCAATTTCATGAATTAAATACACGAGTTCATGTCTGTTGTATTTAACTTTAACAACTTCAATTTTTAGTTAAACGAACTTCGAAAGGAAGAACAGTGATCAACCTCGTATGATTTAGGATGCTATTACAAACAGTATCATTTCACGGAATGAATTCCTTCAACTCTTAGTTTTTATTCATAGCGGAGAGTAATTCACAATGGCACACTTTGCACGCCTGTGAACATACCGAACCGATTTCAGTGTTTTATTGTTGGTAACAGTCTTAAAAGGGACTTGAAAAGGAAGCCGAATTTTTCACAATAACGTTCCTTGCCACACACACACACATACACGCACAAGGCACGTCAATGACTTTACGATCCCTACAAATTCTTCCAGAAACGTTGAACATGATCCGAAGAACCTGTCACGAGTTCACAGAATTCATCGACCGTGAACTGGAGAGGCTCGGAAAAAACCTTGAAATAAATATGATCGTTACGGTTTCGCGTGTGCCGTATAGGTGTATGCCACTAATGGCAACGTCCACGCACCGAATGTTAAAAGAGTCATGCTGATGGCTAATTTCTCGCTAATTTTTGCCAATTAACACTTATGAATTTCTTGAGTCTCTATATGTGATCAAAAGGCACTAAACTTTTATATATATATATATATATATATATATATATATCGTATATTTATTAATTTACATATTCATAAGTTTTTATACTTCCTTTTTATCTTCTCCCTCGACAAAAAAATCACAACTTCCCAAAGGGTAATCTTTTACGAACATACTCCCTGTATTTAGTGCTTTTTTGTATAAGAATGAAAAGGAATTAATCAATCCAAAAATGATTTTTATATATATACTTTCTATTTGAATTGAAATATACTTTTTATGTTGAATTTTAATTAAATTTTGGAAGTAATTCATTAACTGACTTGGACAAATATTTGGTGTTTAGATTGGACAAATTGGTGTTTAAATTCTATAATAGCCAGTTCTATGATTTTTAACAATTACCAACGCGTTGTAACTACACACTACTGGCAGTAATCATTTCTGTGACGTGTACATGTAATTAAATAAGCTAAGAATGCATTAGGAAACCTATTAACTTCAGATAACTGTTGAATTAAGTAATCTTTTTTTAATTAAGCCGTAATTTCAAACAAAATACATTGGAAGATTACAAAAATTATACTTTGCCAGTTATTTGAGATATCAGCCGTTCAGTGAAACTTCAGATTCCACAGATTTTAGCTATTTATACGTGTTTACATCATTCGGATGGCAAAAATCAGCACATTGAGATAAAATGAAGTAAACAACAGTGAAATTAAAAATGCACAGATTAGGTAAGTTCTCTCAGCTGCACGCGAAACCAGTATAAAAAATTCTAGATCTAATGTCTGAATACCTGGCATACATTCTACTATTTAAAATATAAAATCTTTTAATTTCAAATGCCTTTTTCATAATTGGTTGGCCATTTTCAGTTCTATCGTTGCACTAAAATTGCGTTGAAATTGATGAGAACCGCGAAGTATCCCTGGTTAGGCGAGCTGCTTTTTCTTCGAGGTCAAAGGAAATGATGTTTTCTGAATACACAAGAGGATAGCGGTACATCGATAGAAAATCATTAAATTCATGATCGTCGGAGAACCTCGATCAAATCGCCCGACGTTAGAAAATCCTGACTAATCTTTCAAAAATCCTTAAGAGGAAAAAAAGGTGAGCAAAGAAAAAAGAAAGAAAAAAAGAAAAAGAAAGGAAGAAATTATTTTGAAAGAAATACTAAAGACTAATTAAACGTAATTTAAATAAGAGTATTTTGCATTAATGAAGGATGTTTCACGGCGATTTATTAACTGGTATTGCGTGCGTATTTGGATTTTATTGTTATCCAGACTGGCACATCCTCGGTGCACGTGTTATTTATTAGCTCGAGAAAAAGAAGTGGTACAAATCAGTGGGTCGATGAAACCCAAGAACCTTGCATTCGAGAGTTGCCTGAGTTTACAAGCTCTAATTCCTTCTTGCTTCTTCCAAAGGAAGGAGAAAGTCCCTCGTCTATTGCATTCAAAGAGACATTTTACTTCAACCTCATAATGTCAACATACGAGTGAATGAAAATAGTTGAAAAAAATTCTAACAATTTATAACGAAAATAAAACGTGATATCTTTGTTGCATTTAACGCGTCGCATGTTAAATAAAAGTTTCCGAGATGCCATTATCACAGTCATTGATCACGTTTTCTGGACAGATAAGATGTACTTCGTTTCACTTAATAGTGCAGAATCACTACGTTATAGACGCTTATGTAATAAACAACGTTGCGTCGTGAAAGACAAGTAAAATAAAATTGTAAATTGTGCGATCAAAGTAACCATACATTAGACTATAAAGTAACTATACAATAGACTATACATTAGATTAAAGTAACTATACATTAGACTGTAAAGTAACCATACAATAGACTATACTTTATATTAACGTGTATTCACCGATGACATAGACGTATTGTAGAATATTGTCACACCATCATTAGTAGTTTCAATGTTTCGAACTATCACTAAAATTTTCTGGGAATTACCTTGTTACTTATCTAAAATCAAAAAGATCTTGCGGTAACCTCAAATAACAATCTTGAAAAGAAATCTATATCTATGGTGTCCTATAGTGATATAGTTTGCGTATTTATCAAAATTGGAAATTAAGAACTATAGGTCCCAAGTTATAATGCATTGAAAAAAATCTATTGGTCCAGCTATCCTATTTTTAATTCGCTTCCCAGAACACGGGAAGTTACATCCTTCTCGCAGTGCATGTTGAAATATAATATGGTGATCGCTTAAAATGGTATCGAGTTACTCCGATCCATAGCAATACGGATACAGGATCTCATTTTTCGTATTTTAATGCTTATTTTTTTTTTCATTTGGCAGGTCACCGATCCCTCGAGCACAATTATCATCCATCTGCACACATGTATGACACCAGTGTGACATTCTTGCAGAAAGACAGAAATCTAACACAAACAAAGTTCAATGAAATTAATATCAAAACCGGCCTGCAAAAGCAAACGTATACTTCAGTCGTGCGTAAGATTGAAAAAAAAAAAAAAGAAAGAAAAACATTCCAACGTTGCGCTACGCCTGATTTTTCAACTCAATTGTCCGATTGTGGCGCTCGGCCTCGGATTTATCATTTATCCCAGATTGACGTTTAACCTCTCAAGGCCGGGGCATTTAAATCCACACGGTTCACAGTAACGCGTTTTCGGTTCTGGTAAACGTACTTTGTTTCTTCCCCGAATAAATCGAACCAGACAATACACCGATTCACCGATTCGTCCTCCGGAATTGTTAACCTCTTGCGCTGGCGCGGACCTTAACGAGTGACCGTATACAATAATTCGTCGCTTTCTTTTTGAACTCGTCGGTATAATATCACTGGATAGAAATTATTACTAATAAGTAATAAATTTATTATTTGTTTTGCCCAGGTTATATTTAAATATATTTAAAACTGAGGAAATATCGCAATTTTGGGACAAAAAATTCTCGACGTGCGTGGCACGTCATTCCAGCGCAAGAGGTTAATTAACCGCTTGCCTTACGATCTTCTCAGTCTTCAGTACAAAACATTAATTCAGTACAAACATTTATTAATTATATATGTATTTGTGTTTATTAATTTTCAGTATCAATTCAGGAATCAAAACTGAAAATTCAAATTCACAATACACGGGACTTGCTTCTTCTTTTCGAAATTGAAACCATAATTCGATGTTACGACTCGAGAAGAGATTTGGCGAGAATGAAATTTTACCTTTGGCAGAATAGCTTTATTTATCTCGTTGCGATTGGAAGCGATCGACCAGTTTCGAGACTTTGCAGTTCGATTTCTTTCGAACACACAAACAAACACGCCGGGGACATTTTCGTCGAAAAACCGGCACGAAGTAAAATTTAGAAGACGCTCTGCCGCCGGAGAGCAATTCGGAACATTCTCCTCCGAGTCGTGTTTACTACGAATTCGAAAAACCGGTTTCTCTCTCTCTTTTTCTCTCTCTCGCCTCCGTGTGGACGATGCATTAGACAAGGCAAGTCACCGGTAGCCTTCGATCGTTATCGATCTCTCAATCGTTTCAAGTGCGTACCAATTAAATGCAAAAGCAATCCAACTTCACCCGAGTCGATAAGGAAGAAAACCTCCTCGCTTCAATCTGGGGCGGTATTTTGAAAATTTCGAGATCTTTTCGGTCACTTTTAAATCACTTCTCGGTGGATCGATACGGACTCGATTCTGTCGTTACCACGGAGCTTAAAGGAGTGAAAAATCTGGCGTAGAGGAACGAGAGGAGACTTGCGCGAAAAAAAGAAGAAAAAAAAACGAACAGGTCTAAAAAAAAAAAAAAAAAAATCCAGATCGATTTACACGCGAACTAAGGCTGCAGGGCGGAACCGGTTTCGTGAAGATTGCGTGACTGCGCGGCGTTCATCTGGTGTTTATTTCGTTTGCCAGGGCACGATCATCGGGAAGGTGCTGCTCGCTGCCTTTCCGGGCGGATTAGGGAATGAGAAAGCAGATCGAGACGTCCGTTTCGCGAGTGACCCACTGCGTGGGTCTGGTTCGATTTCCGATTCGTAGCACCAGGTAAACTACGCTCCCAGATATATACGTGTGAAAAAAATTTTACTAATACGATCTCGCCTGTTAATAAAATCCCGTAACGTTCGAAACTTACAAACTTACTGACGATACGATATACTCGTCGCAAACATTGTTTTCCGGTTAACGAGAAATGTCAGACAAGTTTCAACGTTCGCCGGGAGAAATAAAATCGCGTTGCAAATATTTGTCATTTTACGTTTTACGTTCGTCAGCGTTTTTTCTTCCGGCCCGATTCGAAATGCCACTCGCGCCTGCTGAATGGCTGACATTTTTCGTTGACCAAGCGCAAATGTCACCAATACGTGCTGTTTGGTTCTTCTAAAGGAAACATTTCCGTTCAACACTTAGAACTACTTTAGCGTGAAATTTTCAGAGACATTGAAGT